ATTCTTCTGTTTATTCGTCTATTTCTTATGTCTATCATTTGTTTTGTTTTTCTATCTCTCATTTAAATATTCTAGTCCCTCTTACAATTTCTCTTACTATTTCTAATTATTTCTAATCATCCCTCCCTCACCCATCCCCCTCATATTACATCTCATCACTCACTCAGACAAATTATCCTACACAGACAATCTATCACCTACACAGAAAATTGACTGCTTATTACAGGGAAAGTCTTGTATCCTCACGGATCCCAACCCTCTCTCCCATCCCCAACCCTTGTTCACCTCCCACCCCGAATACAGTGTTGGTACGAATACCTGTCCAGACTTACATTTACATTTACATCTATATTCATACTTTCCCCTCTCCTTACATTTATATTCATACTTTCATCTGTCCTTATATACCCAATTTTTTAAGCAGCCCGTGTTCACGCTCTTCCTTCCACACCCGTCCCCGTTTACACATACTCAAACTACACACATGTCTACCTCCCCTCCCCATTTGGCACACACACACCAACCACACCCATGTCTATCCCTACCAACCCATACAAGCACTCAAATCACCGCCATACTGTCAAAAACACTCCCTCGCCTCCATGAGCGTTAGAACGATGCCCTTTTAAAACTGTAGACACTTTTTYCCCCTACGTCCTCCACTGCATGCATCCCATTTCCACATACCATTGTCTCCACAGGAAGCCCATCACGACAAGACACCCTTGTTGTCACCAACCTCGTTCCCAGGGCTACTCTGCGCCCAGAGATAGCCCTGGCATCGGCCGATCAAATATGGATTTTGATTGGCTAAGATTTTTCTCACTTTTCATTGGTTGCTCATTTGTTGTGACTTTTTGACACAGAAAAATTGAAGAAACAATTCAAATGTAAAGTTGATGGAAATTTTTAAACTAAAATGCCTGAGTTCAGCGTCTACAAGATGCTAAAACTACAAAAAGAAAAAACATGAAGTAGTCTATCGCCATGYACTAGGTCTATTTACAGTAAGTAGAAGTGAAGACACGAATATTCGTGAGACGAATAAGAAAGCGAAAAAGACTTTGCATAGCATTACAAAGCTTCTACAAAATATTTTTTGCAATATTTCAAACGAGCCACCATTTAGAAATTATTGTAATAAAATTACATGCCGTTCTTGGCGTACTTTTATCGCCTTGTACATCTGATCGCCGTTCGTTCTCGGCGATAGTGGGCACGAAATGTTATGTTCGGATTTTTTTTTATTACTCACCAAAGATGAATATCTTATTAGATCAAGGCGGGAAAATAAGTTGTGAAAAGAGAATTTTGTCATGCTTTTTAAATTTGCACGATAGAGTTCAAAGTACAATTGACTCAGCAAGATGCCTAGCCGCTATTTTTGCAAAATGTTTTTCAAACTTTAAAAATAAAACTTTCAAAAATCTTATTATTTGATACCTTCTAGCTTAGATAAATTGGCGTATTCAAACTTTCTCTAGACTTTCTAGATAGATTTGTAGATATATCAGCGAGATAAGCCATGAAAAAGGACTARAAAGACAACAATTGACATGTTTGAACTTCTTCGACAAATTTCTTAAAATAAGTTACCTTATAAATTTGAACAATTCGCCACAGTCTTCAGCAGCCTAAGMGATTTTTCAAATTCCTTTTTTCAGTCATCTCGATGATTTGAGTCGATATCTCTTGAATTTTTATACAGCTACTTTGGTCTTCGACGAATCCATAATAGGTTAACTTACTACTCAACAATTCAAAAAGAGAGTTCACAAATCCGCTGTTTTTTCCTCTTGATCTTTAACATGCCTTTAAGCTTCCTGGAACATCAGCTCTCCTTGTTGTCAATCACTTGAAGCGAAAAGGTAGTCAAGACTGTTTCTTTTAGGGCCACAGTTTGCTAAACTGGATTGACAAACCCTCAAAAATGACTAAAGTTTTTCCTTCTCTTTCTTTGTTGAACAAGTTTTTCTGGACGTGCATTCAAACACGGATCGGAATCTAATGAAATTGGCGGGAATCTTCACAGATTGCATTAAAATGTGTGAAAATTAGCTTTTCAGAATGTTTTGAAAAGTTGAAAAAAGTTAAATGTTGCTCCGAACATAGTTATCATTTTCCAAAACCAAATAGCGCCTGCATTCAGCGGTAATCCACACTAAACACCCACTGAGAGTGGGTGTCACGTGACCGGCCAATGCCAGGGCTATCTCTGTCCGCCATTTTGAAAAAAGCGAGCAGAGTGGCCCTGGGAACGAGGTTGTTGTTGTCACCTGATATGTTACCCACAAACATTACAATACCCGGGTACTCCCCATTCCTCACATAGTTTTTAACCGACACAAGATCAGTATGGAAAGAACAACAACAAAAAACCTATTAGAAAACCAGTATTTAGCATACACTTCGGGTAACAAGTAAGAACTCTTCCCTCATATTTCGCCCATGTACCTATCTATCGCCTCTTTTATTATCCTTTAACCTACTACTATCTTTAGTTTCAATTCTAATTCGCCGCGTGTTTATCTCGTCGAGCCAATGCATCGTGTAGGGCTGAGCAATTTTAAGACGTCTTAATTGCANCATTTTTATCCGTTTTATTTATTTTTCTTCATTTCATTAATTATACCTTATCATTATTATATACCTGGCTTTCCAAATTACACGTTCTTACCATAAATTATTGTGTGCATTATTATAGCTACTGGTAATCTCTGGAGCGATTTTCAGAACTTTTATGATTTTTCCTCCCTCTTATTATAATCTGTGACAGGGTAGGAATCGAAGCCCTCCATAACCACTTCGAACAGCTCTAAGTTTGGTCGATTTTTTCGTCGAAGTTCGACTCCTAACGCAATGTGCCTTTGTACAGCTGTCAACTAATAACTTACCACTGCAGAAATGCTGGTTTCATCGACCCAGTTGATTTTCTTGAGCCATGAGCCCTCCTTAGGCAAGTAAAATCCGTGTCAAAACCGCCATTTTGCCACTGTGTCTGAGAAAGTACTGTACAAAAGCATGCAAAAATCCAACGTGCCAGGGAGGTCATGTCTACGAAATTAATTCAGTATTTGTTTTTCTTCAACCATTCACAGGGTCCGAACGTGCCACATGGTCTTCAAATGTGTGCATGGAAAAGCCCGCATATCGCATTTACGAAATTCACACTCCATGATGGCTTGTTCGCCGAGAAAGCGAAGGAAACACGATTCCGCTACCTTTTTTGCTTTAATTCGAGCTTGTCCTTTACACAACTTATAAAAAAACCCAATGTTACTTGTGTCTCTCTGTCTTTTAGAAGGGAAGGTAGTAGGAATTCAATGATTGTAAAGTGTCACAAATATGAAACTTTACTTTTCAAACTGCTACAAGCGATATACAGACAGCTCCAACGCGCATTTTCTATTATATTCAGTTTGTTTGTGTGCTCTAGGGAAATATGTTAAGTCCAAACGACCTACCAAGCTCGAATTAAAGCAAAAGAGGTAGCGTAATCGTGTTTCCTTCGCTTTCTCGGCGAACAAGCCATCATGGAGCGGGCTTTTCCCGCTTTATAGTAAGAGGGGGAAAAAATCATAAAAGTTCTGAAAATAGCTCCAGAGATTACCAGTAGCTATAATAATGCACACAATAAGTTATAGCGAAATTTATTGTATATTTATGCCATAAATCAACTGTTAACATAGATTCACATACATTCTCTTATATCAAGTAAAGAGCTTGGGCTACCCGTGTTTAGGAGATATTCAAAAGAAATTCCATGAATGAAGGCTTTTGTGAAGGAAATACGACCGACCCCCAACGAAGACTTTGATTAAAAATCTACCTAACAATACATCATGTGTTCAAACGTCTTAAAATAATATATAAGAATCATTGGATGATCTACTAAATGCTCCTGGTCAAAAAGAAAAAACCCAAGCTGAACGTGTCCAAAAAATTGAAAAGAAAGAAAACGGAAGAGTACAGCGAGTTTATATTTACTGTTGCCGAAATACAACAAAAACCAAGACTAATAGAGACACTTCATACAAAAAGTAARGCAAAACTCTATACACTTTTTAAAAATTTCAATCATTTTTATTTATTTATTTTTTTATTTATTTATTTTTTTGAATTGCCCGATAACGAAAAGAGCAGGGGACTGGGACTGATACAATCTAAACAGCAGGGACATTTGTCTGCGCATGCGTGAGYCAAATAGAATACATRVCRYGMGGTATACCTGTGTCTGGCGGGAAACTTTGAAGATGTAAGTAAACATGGCGAAGGAGCCGGTGTCCTCTCTTTTGTATTCATTTGCGTGTGTTTTACTCTTCCCATGAATAATCAAAGAAGATGTTTTGTATGTAGATGAAACTGTGCAAAAATAGTCCAATTTAGGGTAAGTTTAAGAACTTGTTTCGGCATAAATACGAGCAGTGATTCAATTATTCTACTCGAAGGTGGAAATTTTTACTAAAATTCGCACGTCTTTGTACGTTAATTTGAGATATCCACGCAATTTTCAAAGGCGAAATTACAATTCTATTCTTTTTAGAATTACATAAGATTTTAATTTAGGTAGGTTTCCGCTCTGGGCACGTCCCCGGTTTTTCAAGAAATAGTTTTAAA